GGCTCCGTCCTGTTTCCTTGTTTCTTCTTCAGAGTTCACTCTCGCTCTAGTCTGTTGACACTGACGCGCCGCTCTCTCCGACACGTGAGTCACGAAGTAAAAGATCCGCTCGCCGCCTCCCAGAGGACCTCTGAACATCTGGGGCGAAGCTGTGATGTGTTGATTGTCTGATTGTGTCCATCAGTTCTCTAAACCAGCGTCCCTCAACGCGTCACCTTCTCTGGAAGATCGTGACTTTTAGTTCGTGGTTTCTGAGCTGTTCTAAATTATGAATCAGTTCTATTGAGTCAGAGGTGAAAAGACTTCTGCTCAAATCTTTGATATTTCATGAACTAAACAAGAACAATTGCGACATAAACTGATCGTAAGAATCATGTTTAGTTGCCGTGATGGGTTTTTTTTTTTATTCCTGTGTGAAGCTGCAACACTAACGAGTTGTTTTCGAGTTGGCGTTGAGACTTCTTGTTTGTTGCAGACGCAGAACAGTATTTTTTAAAGTCTATAATCTGATGACTGAGTTAAACTCTGGCACCAGCAGGACGGGTTCTCTCCAAACCTCCATCTTCTCGTGGTGATAGTCGCATCTTCTCATTTGTATCATCTGTTACGACATCATCCTGCAGTTAGGATCTGTTTCCTCTCCTCCACCTCAGGTCGAGAAGCGTCTCTCTCTCTCTCTCTCTCCCCCCTTTTTTTAGAACACAGCACCTTTTATTATGATTTTTTCCAATTATGTCATTTCCAGCCCGTTCACTTTCCAGAGGGGATGATGTAAGACTAACGCCCCCGTGACGAGCCCGAGTGGTTGGGAGGGAGTTTTTTTTTTGAACAAGTGGTAATGATGAAAGAATGAGACTAAAAATATCTCATGTTATATATAGATGTCGGTTTATTCAGTGTTTTCATCATCAGGATACTTCTGTGCACATGTAATCTGGTTTGGATGAGGATTTTACGATTATCAAACCATTTCCTGTAAATAAAAAAACGGATGACATGACGCCCCCTGGTGAACGGCTGCAGTATAGATTATAAACCCCGCCCCCTCCATGTTAGTAGATGGGACGTCGACCAAAGTGACTGTTAAATACCTTTTTTCCTGGATTGTTGTTATTTGCTGCTATAAAAATGAGAAAAGTCACGATTGACGCCTGAGACTCTTTACATCACATTTCATTCTATCCAAAGCGACTTACAATGAGTGCATCGCCCGGGAGGGAGCACTAGCGGGTGGACCGGCCAGGAGGGAGGTGCAGGAGTCGAGGCGTGAGATGACCGGAGCCTGAACCAGAACCTGTAACTGCCTTCTGAGCGACAGGAGGACGTGTCTCCTGATGTCCTGCAGCATGTATCTACACGAGCGGGCTGTTGCAGTAATGTTGGCAGGAAGGGAGAGTTGACTGTCGAGTGTCCCGCCCAGGTTCCTAGCACACTGTGGGGGGGGGGGGGCGAAAAGTAGTTTGGTCTTGTCAAGGTTAATTTTCATGTGACTCAGGTGACTCACTCGCAGTTGGTGGAGCACATGTGTCGGCAGATGCCACAGCTCCATCAGCCAATCACTCCTGTGCAGACTCAAGATGGCAGCGCTCGGGTGCAGGATGTTTTGGCTTCATTTCTAGATGGCGGGAGGAAACAGAGACTTGTCGTCCATCTTGTATTCCGTCTGCGGCTTGAACACGTTTGATGCCGAAGCTAAACAGAGAGTTCTCCATCAGAACGATTGTTGACATGGCGTCCACACGCTCCACCTCAGCTTCACAGCTTGGCATTTCAGCATCTCTCTCTTTTTCCTAGTGTTGTTTCCAGTTTCTCTCACAGGGAGGAGTACATTACATAAGGAATCCAAATTTTAAAGCTGTTGACATTTGAAAATTGAGACACATTTTCCAGCATGAAGAACGAACCCACGCGGCTGCAGCAGCAGCAGCAGCAGCAGCAGCAGCAGCAGCAGCAGCAGCAGCAGCAGCAGCAGCAGCAGCAGCAGCAGCAGCAGCAGCAGCAGCAGCAGC